CGCGGCTCGGGGGCACCGGGCTTCACCCGAGCGCCCGGTCGCGGGCGACAGACAAAGGGTGCCCTCGCACCGCCTTCCTGGGCCGGGGCCGCCTCCCGCCGAGCATACCCCGCCAGCGCCCGGCCGGGGCCGTGCGGGCGTCCTCGGGCCCCTTCCGCCGCAGGCAGAAACGCCCCGCAGAGCGCAGGTGATGGGAGTCGCGGGGGAGGGCCGGGCTGACCCCCCGGGCGGGCTCAGGGGCGCAAACCGTGGGTTCCTTCAGCTCGCTGCCATGCTCGCCGGTGTCCAAGACAAATGGCACTCGTCGCACCTCGCGGTTCTGCTGAGCTGTATTCCTCTGACAGGTCCGCTGCTGCCCTTCGGGGTGCTGCCCTGGCAGCTGCCAGAGCTCCCTGAGCTGTGTGCCGGGGCCCGGCCGCATGCCTGTGCTGCTGCGGCTCAGTCTGGGTCCTTAGCGTAGGTGTTCCGTAGTCTCCTGCAGGGAATGGAAACCTAGCAGCGAGGCCTGCGCCAAATCTGTCAGAGCTTGCTTGCCAGCCCATGCCTACCCTGACCAAGTCAGGATTATTAAAATGTGTAAAGGTTTCCTTTATTTCTGCTCAGAACTCGACAAAACCACACGGGAAGAGACTGGAGTGAAATGCTGGTAATGGAGAGCGTTCAGAACAGGTGTTGTAAGGAACAGGGAAGAGAGGTACCTGGCTGGTTAGGAAGAGTCGCTGCATTAGAGGAAGGATAGCTGTTGTAATTTGACAGTATTTCCAGAAGCCACGTTCACTCCCGCAGAGCTAGGAGGGGAGAGGTTATAGCTGGATAAGCAAACAGGACCTTTGTTTGTTTGTTTGTTTGTTTTATGCCAACACTGATGCTTCCTGATAGACCTTGCCCGTTGTAAACTGCAGCTGAAATTAATATCCTCAAGACAGGCTTGATGACAAGTCATACCCCATGGGTTAGGGCTACTGGTTAATCCAAGTGCTTTTCGGAACTATTAACCATCACTTCAAAAGCTCTGCTGCTGGAGAATTTAAAATAAACTGTCTGACCTTCCTATTCTGAAAGATACTTAAACCAGAGAAAGGTCTGTCTTCCAAAATTTGCAGCTGAAGAACTCTACTGCTGCTTCTTTTAGCAGCGGCTTAGAATTATCACATAAAGCTGTAAAATAACAGAATTTCTCTATACGCATGTTGCAGTTCTTGCCCCTTTGAGCAGTAGTGTCATCATCTGCAGTACTGATTCCTGGAAGCTTCAGTTGTTAAATATAGAGGTTATGAGATTTGGGCAGGCGTGAATAGATCATTGATGGCTCTCACCCTTCTGCGTAGTAAGCCTTAAGTGTCCAAAAAGAAAAGAAAATGACCGGTGTACTGTGTGTGCTCAGCGAGGACGGAGCCTTCCCCTCTGCAGTCGATAGGAGACCATCCTCATGCTTTTCTCATGCAGCTAGGCGAGATTTCTATTTTAGAATTTTTCCTGTACTTCTTGTAACAAGAAGCCATCTTGTTTTCATTAGTGAAAGACGGTAACTTTCCTAAATCCTGATTATTAATATTTTTTTATTCTTTCTGATGTACTGTTCAAAAGACAGCTCGGGGTTTTCTCCATTTTGGGTAACGTTTACTGTGCTTGTGAGTTGTATCATCCTACTGCCACCATAAATTACGGCATGAAAAAGGAAGCACAGCAATGACATAAATAAGAACAGCAGTGAGCTAGTGTGTTCACCCTCCCAGAAGGTAGAATGAGCCACTCGAGGGATAATTGTGCGTTCACAGATTGCACACTGCAGGGTACTGTGCTAGAAGCACCACGGTTGTAAAGAAGTTGCTAGCTGCTGATCGTTTTCTTCCGTAGTTGAAAGACTCGTTGTAGGTGGGTGAAATAGCATGGTATGACTATGGCAATGCTTTCCTTTTTCTTTCTGTTCAGTACAGGTTTAATTCCTTTGCATTCTGTGGCTTTGCCTCTACTGCATTGGATAATAATGACCCTAAAGGACTGTAAAGTAACAAAGGGAGAAAAAAGTCAAAATCCTTAGTCTTGCATATGTTGAGGTTTCTAGTCTATTAGAGTCTGTGGCCAGCTGCCTTTTTCCGGTAAGGATAAGGTGCTGATGAGAGACTACAGGCCTGCAACAGGAAACTCTACATAAAACGGTAGTGCGAATAGCACTGAAAGAGAATAATGCTGTTGGGGAGGCTGTAATGGATTATGCTAGGAAACGGTCCTGAAATCATGCCATGCAGTTCTCTTTGAGAGAGAAGTATTAGCAGGGCTGCTCTGAATGTGGCACAGCATGTTCTAGTGACTGCTGCAGTGGTGCTGATGTGAAACCCCACGTTCAGCTCAGCATCACTGAAGTCTTTGGCAAAGCTTTGGATGACTGAAATGATGAAGGAACGAAGCTTAAGTGCAGAGCCCTTTTGCCATTAAATCTTTCCATTTACTATTTTACTTAACTCGTTTCGGAGATGGGCCTGTAAGACTTTTGCTGAAAAGAATGCTGTGCTACTGTCCAGATTGTCAGAGTAAAATATCTTTTCTTGCTGCTGTTTTTTTAAAGAAAAAAAAAAGTATGTGAATTTAAATGCTTACGATTATCATTTTGTGATAGCTACTAGTAGCGTGATGGCTGATGCAGGTTGCTGTTTGAAGTTCGATGCGGGCCTCAGCAAATACTCCAGGTATTCTAAAGCACATGAAACATGCATGTCAGCATTTGAAAATACTATTTTACATATCAATAGTAAAGTTTATGCTGTACCAAATACAGCAGTTGGACAGACTAAACATTTACAGCAAACATACCAAAGATCTAATTTTTTGATAGGTGTAGGACAGTGTGTTAATAGAATGTAGTCACACTTGCAGTGTCCTTCATCTCTTAAGAAATTTAAGGCTGTAGGGTGAACCTGTAGAGAGGAACGATAGTGACTGCTGGGGAGAAGAATGCAGCAAGTATTGAAAGGCTTGTTGATGTGAGACTGGTGACAAAATTACCATTGTGTTGAAGTACGTATAACATTGGTCCCCCGGACTTTGGGGGAGAGGGATAGGAAACTGGCCAGCTGGAATCAAGTGTACAAAACATTGTTAGAGCCTTGGGCAAAAAGCACCACGATAAGAACAGGAGTGTAACCTTATCTTTAGCACAGAGAACTGAAAATCCATGATTTTTCACATACCTTGTATCCTTCCCTTTTCTGAAATGACTTAACATCTGCCATTCACACTGAAGAAGGGAATTGCTGCCAAATGCCAGAGGAGATTTGGAATTTATATCAGTGCTTAGCTTCGGTATTCTTCTGAACTTTAAAAACCAGTAAAGGAACATTAAAACAGGAAAATTTGGTTATCAGGTTAAATGTAAGACTTGTGGGTCTTTTATTGGAGCAAAAGCAGCAGCAGCAATATAATTAGATGAATTATTTAGATAGCTGGCAGTATTTTTGTTTAAATAAATTTGCTGATTGCACTGACAGAGGGGAGCATGTTTATCTGGAATGTTTCAAAAATGATGTAGGCATTAACGAGTAAATGTGGGTTGTAATACTTTGATATAAATAGGAGTAGCAAAAGAGTTACAGCAAAAATGATTATACTAATCAGCTCAACTGTATGTTTTTAATAGCTCCTTATAGCCACAATGGCAACGTCCTCTGAAGAAGTGTTACTGATTGTAAAGAAGGTACGTCAGAAGAAGCAGGATGGAGCTCTCTACCTTATGGCTGAAAGGATAGCATGGGCACCTGAAGGCAAAGACCGATTCACAGTCAGCCATATGTATGCAGACATAAAATGTAAGTGAACACTTCTCCTATTCCAGCTTCAGTAAGCAGTATTTCGATGAATATTTAAATACATCCCAAAGCTTATTTGCCATGAAACATTAGTAGGTAAGTTAGGAAGGCTGCAAGGGTCTGGAGCTTTGACTAGGTTATTCTGTGTAGCAGCAGAGATCAGGACCATGGTGAAGTATCACCAGTTTATTAAGGATGCTACTGCAGAACTTCTGTAGTCTTGAGATGCTTACATTATACTGCGTTTACTATTAACTTTTGATAAACTTCTGCAATAAATTGAATAGAAAAATAATCTATGCCATATGCTTGTGGAGGGAAGGGTGGGAGGAGGGTTGAGGAAGGGTATAGGATTTTCAGGGTCTAACACAGAAACTATCTGGCATGTCATCTGTTAAACTATGCATCTAAAGTTGTTTCAATTTTCATATAAAATGAACCTCGCTGTTTTATTTTCCTCAAGCAGACCATAGCTTCAGAAGTGCTAGCTTCTGTAGTTTGGCCTAACTGGTAACATTCCGAGTAAGCGTTTGCTATTGCAATAGCAGAGTACTTGCAAGTGAAAACCAAACAGTAAATGTCTATAGCATGCTGCCTTTCTGGCTCCAATTAGTGCTCATATTCCATGTACTGTAATGCCAAAGAAGGAATAAAAAGAAAGTTGTTTGCGTCACTTGGTAAAGGTTTAGTGACTATTGCTGTTTAAAGTCACATACAAGTACTGTAGCATGATCAAAAGTGTGTGATGAATCAGAACTAATACGCTGTTTTCTTAAATATGGATGTGATAAGTCGTTTAAAAAGCTCTGTTCACCTATAATAATCAACTTTGTGAAGGTTTTATTTAGCTATTTACTTACACTTAAGCAGCTTATATTTTAAATATTTACATGTATAGGCATTGAAGTCTTTTTAATTTAGAGGAAAGGTGCTCTTTTTTGTCATCTAAAATTAAAAAAAGGGGGGGTATTTGTAAATTTGTAATAGAGGTGATGATTTAGTGGTGACATCTGGTTCCTGTCTCCCACTTGCACTGGAGAAAGGGGTAAGATTCAAAGTTAGGTTAGTGCTATTTGCAGTGCTACACTGAAGTCAGTATAGCACAACAGTCCATAAATGTAGTTATTCTAGCGTCTGCTCCCTCTGGTTATGAGAAATGAAGCAGGAGTTAGGTTTTTCTTATGAGTCATGAGAGTGTAACAGCACCTTGGAGGCATTGGTGATCGACTTCACGAGTACTAATGGCTAAATGTGCTTACCACACCAGTTGAAACCAGCATACCTTTGCTGTCAGACATGCTGGTACCCCACCCTGCATCTGCTTTCTTTACCACTTTTCTTCTGTGGGAACTGGTCCAGCTGGAAAGACAAAAGGGGGTTACTTTTCAGTGGATCAGTTCCTTGGTTCAGCTTGCTGCACGAACACTAACACTAGTACAAGAAAGGCAGCAGGAAGAAGTGGAAGGGGGGGAATGAGGTTGTCGCCTTTCAGCAGCAGCCTGGATTGGTACCAGGTTGAAGTGTCCAGGTGATGACAGTCTAATTTGCAGCAGTTTTCTAATGGAGGATGTGGGGAATGCAAAGATGAATCAGGGCCCCTGAGCAGTAGCTGAAGGATACTGAGCAATAGGCTACTGGTGTCTGTGTCTTGTGTTTTAGAGAGGACAAGGTGCAGGGTTCAGACTAATTTAAGGGGAAGACTGTCTGTTCCACTTTCGTGGCTGGAATTCACACACAGGGTAATGGTATCTAATTGGATGATGAGGATAACTGCTTAGAAGCAAATACTCTAGGGAAGAGAGTTTCTTGTATAAGCTTACTGTCTGTTGCTAATTAATACTTTCTGTGTAATCTAGGTCAGAAAATCAGTCCAGAAGGTAAAGCTAAAATTCAGCTTCAGCTAGTATTGCATGCAGGGGACACAACCAACTTTCACTTCTCCAATGAAAGCACAGCAGTAAAGGAGCGAGATGCGGTAAAGGATCTTCTTCAACAACTGTTGCCCAAGTTCAAAAGAAAAGCTAATAAAGAACTTGAGGAGAAGAACAGGTAAAGGGAAAGGAGCCTTAAAGTTTTTTGGTTGTTTGTTTTTTTTTTTAATTGTTACCTAACTAGAGCATATTCCTGCTAACAGTTGTTGTTGCAACATCATTAGTGATACGGCATTTGTTTCCCTAGTAAAAATCTCTCCACTTTCAATTTAGAGGCAGTTCCTTGAGACTTGCATAACTGTAACATGTTGAGACTATACTTGTGTTCTCAGTGACACGTTCTTGAGGTGTAAAGGCAGCCAGCCCGGCTGCCACCCAGTCTTTGTTATCCATGGCTGTGAGATGAAAGCACCCAACTGGCAGTCTGTCTCTTTAGTCCTCTTAAGTATATATTTATCAGTTAGAAAAGCTGCCTGAAAGACTTTTTTTTTTCTTTTCCAGAAGTTCTCACCCCCCCCCGCCATGTAACCTCTTCCCCCTCAAATCTTCTTTCTTGGTGTTTTATATACTCTACTGAACTGCTAGGTATTTTCATGCATCTCACTTGAGATGCAGTAGTTTGTTATTTGGCATACAGGATGTTTATTCTAAAAAATGTTTTGAGAAGACATTCAGGACCTAAGTCCTTTTCCCAAAAGGGCCTTTAAGATATGCTTCCGTTCCTTTAAAATATTTGTGTTAAACCAGTCCTTGTGGCCATAGAGCACCCTTCTCTGCATCTCCCCAGATGAGTTTCACTTCATTGTAGCATCTGCTGTGAACCCTGTATCTACTAGCTTCCACTTCCAAAGATTGTTCTAGCTTTGAACTATTAAAGCAAGATTTTTCAAAACATAAGAGCATTGCCTCATTGGGCAAATCAGATCTTTACAAGGAGATTTCTCAGCAGAAGGGCAAGAGCCCTTGTGCTGGAGCTCTGACACAACCAGGATTAACTGGTTCCAGTACTGCAGCGAACTCTAGGTTTTTACAGCAGTGCAGACTGCTTTGGCACTATTATCATACTAGTCTCTTTATGCTCCGTGCCTTATTTTTAACGGTATTAATACTGAGTACGTGGGCAGTCTTAGCTATGAATTTTTGCATCCTTAAATGGAGTTTTACAGTAGTATGCCATGCAGTATTAAGAGCTTTTCTAGTTACAGAAAAGCCAGAATCTCTGCACGTACTTGGTCATAGTCTTTTGATGATTAGAAGTCTAAGTCTAGTGATGGGGCTTCATTAGTTTAATATGCAACAGATGAGGCAAAAAAGTTTCAACCTGTTCTGGAAGGGTACTACATTCAGAGTCCCTGCGGCACTTCCGCCATTTATTGATATGTGGGGGTCAGGTATACACCAAAATGCCAAGTTTGAGTGAAATAATTAGACTAACAGACTGCTTCCTGCTGCACTAATTTGTAAGAATTGCCACTAATCCGTATCTGTACCAACAAGAAAAACTGGTAAAACCTTGGTGGTTAAAACGTAATAGGGATGTCCTGCCACAAAGTTTTCACTTCCACCTCATCCTACTTCATTCTTAAAGCAGCTACAGGCTTTCATTCATTCCAGATTGCAGTTTATCCATGTTCTTCCCTAGACCACATACTATGTATTCATAGGATTCCTTTTTTTTTTGTTCGCAAATGATCAGCACCCTGAGGTACATGCTAAAGATTGTTGAGGTTATCGGCTCATTGTGAACACACACACACACACACACACACACACACACACACACACACGTTTCCCTGAAAATAGCCTAGGTACACAGCTATATGAAAAGCTGCTTAAACATGAACTAACTGAAGTTTTCAGGTGCATGCATTCTTTGCATTTTGGGTAGTAAGGGTGATACTTGATATTTGGATAATAACTTTTGTAAACATTATTCCCTGGTGGAAGTAGTGACACTGAATGTTTCTGTAGCACTTGCGCTGCACGTGATAGTTAAGTGATGAAGATCCTACTGTCACCAACAGAAACATAAATGAACAAACAACTCAGGGTAATGTGTGTTTTAAGGTATCTTATCCCACGCATATTTTGTAATCTGTACTCTTGCACTAGAATGGAGACGTGTAGCTACTGAATTTTAAGATCTTAACCAAGTCCCCCCCACCCCCAAGACCTTTGTTACGAAGTTCAAGAAAATTCATTCTGCCTTTACAGTTCAGGAGACTTCAGTCCTGGATGTGCAAAGGCACAAGAGCACCACAGAATATTTTGGGAAAAGACGTTAATCCCACATTAACCTTTTCTTAGGCATTACTGTTTTCTAGCATTTAATGCTATTCCTTAAACATTTTTTTAGTCCTTTCTTAAGTCTTTTGAGACAAGTACAGCTATTGAGGTTGGTTGTTTACACAGTCTTGTTAACAAATGCACAGCATTTTGAAAGAAAAGTTGGTTTCTGTTCCTTTTGTGAACTCGTGTTAGTTATGGAAATCCTAGTGATTTATTCTGCAGTGTTTAAATTCTATTCAATACATTCTTTTACCAGAATGCTGCAAGAAGATCCTGTTTTGTTTCAGCTCTATAAAGACCTTGTTGTGAGCCAAGTAATCAGTGCTGAAGAATTCTGGGCCAACCGTTTAAGCCTGAATGCAGGGGATAATTCTGCAGCACCTAGTAAGCAGGATGTGGGCATCTCTGCAGCATTTCTGGTATGTTGAACCTCCAACTTAAAGGATTTTAGAGCAACAAATTGGGGAAAGTGAGAGTTCTGCTCATGTACTTTATTCCCATACACTTTAATGTTGTTCTTTCTTGGTTCCTCGACTTAACATCTCCTCCGCATGTTAGTTAGACTATTGCAAGTGTAAAGGAGGAAAAAAAAAAAGTAAAGGTTTTACGCAAATCTGCAACCTCAAAATTTTGTCGATTTAAGATGCTCAATTTGAACTTTAAATTGACAATAGGCAGATGTTGTTTATACTGTTGCTCTGCTTTCCGTAAAACAGGAATAATGGTGAACTTGGAGTCACTAGATTACAGCGTATTAACTCCATAAGTTAAAAAGAGTATCTGTTGCAGCATTGACATGCATAAATTAAGCTGCAAAGACTTGCCACACAAAAGGTTTTAGTCCCTCCCCGATTTTTTTAAACCAGTACATACTTTCAACTACTTCAAGGACAACTTGTATATCTGAAACCTTGTTTTAGCTCTCTTTCCCCAGCTTTCAGTTATGTTACCCATTTGTAGAAACCATGCTTCAGTAATCTCAATGCAGTCTAAAAGTAATCTCGGTACAATCTTCAGATTCCTCCCACAGAGACATGTTTCTACTTCTGCAACAAAATTCATACAGATTATGACTCTTCAGCTGGAATCCCATTTCCACCTTTGTAATGACTGTGCACACAGCAAGGGTTTGGGAGGGAAAGAAGAGGTGGGAGTTGTCTTATGATGTAGCTGCTGTAGAAACATCTGTTTTTTTTCCCCCCTAGAAATACCTGAATCAGTTACCAAATGAACTTGATTGCTCTGATTTCCTGTCTGCCATTATTCTTATATCTTAACATCAAAAAAAACCAAACCAAGAAACCCAAACCTTCAAAACTGAAGCTTTCCTAAAATAACTGGTTCTGTTTGTGTACTCTGCATTTTTGAAGAAGAAAACTTCAGCTATTTGTGTGTCCTAGTTCAAGTTAAAATAACTATCTGGCTCTGCTCAGAATGAGTGTTTCTCTAGGAAGAAGGTGGTACAAAAACTAGAATTTCGGTGTACAGGAAGAAAAGGCGGCAGCATATGCAACCATGTACTTTTTCCTGCTACTGAGAACTGGACTTGCACTTGCTTGCTCCAGAGTTTCCTAAAGAGATCGCTGAGATCTAACTTGCAAGTTCTGACTAAGGCTTACCCTCAATTTTTAAATTCAATGTTATTTATCAGTTATACTGAGATGCTTTTAGTGTATAAGGAAATAAGGTGTAAGAGCCATAAATCCTTTTTTGTCACTTCCTTATCATCAGTGATTATTCACTAGCTGAATTGTTGCATGAACAACAAAAGATTAGGCATATACAGTAAACATGCCTATTTTTACTTTGAAACAAGGATATATTAAACTAAGCATACCTTCTTTTGACTGATGGAGTGGTCTTTGCTTTTCATTTCCTAAAGCTTACAGTCTCCTTGTTGAATCATCCCTTAAGTGGCAAGTATAATAAAGTAATTAATGCATGCTTTTTTATTTCTCATTCTAAAAATACCTATTTATGATCAAATGTGCTATGGATTATTGGAGGAAGATTATTTTATCTGCAGCAGAATTTGATTGCAAGATGCCAGTTTTTTCCTTCTCCAGTTACAGAAGGCGTTCAGACATGACTCTTTTTTCCTCCCTGTATGCTTTTCCTTAGGCTGATGTACGGCCTCAAACAGATGGCTGCAATGGTCTGAGGTATAATTTGACTTCGGATATCATTGAATCCATATTTCGAACATATCCTGCAGGTAAGAATAGTGCTTTACGTAGAAAATACATGCATTTAAGATTTGTTTTTTACTATCTTACCGTGGGAAAACTGGAATGTTAGTCTGAGCCTGGAAGCATAAAGGACCATATCTTTGGTCTTTTGGATGATTTTCCCTGCCTCGTTTGTGGGATGGGAAGAAGCATGTGTTAAAACATGCTTTTGAAATGAAAACTTGATTTTGTTAAATGAAAACATTTTAACTTGTTGTGCTGACTTTTTTTTTTTTTTTTTAAATTGTGAGTAGATATTTGGTTCCCACGATACTCTCCTACTCAGCATTTCAATTAATTGTTATTTTTCATGAAATCACCTTTGGGAGGAAAAGAATCTGCTTTCCATCATTCCCCTGCACTATATTGAAGGCTGACACTGGTTCATTTTGGCCCCAGGTTAAAAAGCCTAGATCCATTCCGAGAATAACTAGAATTCTGGCAAATCAGACTTCTTGTGCGCGTGCAATTCAAATTAGAGTACTCAAACCGCTGTTACATGCATTTCTTTTCAAAGCATTAGCTAGCATTGCAGGGCATAAAAGAGTACCTGTTTGCTCATGCTTAACTACTGCATTCCCTTACATTTTAATTGGCATGAATGAAGGCAGCATTAGACAGAAAGCAAGGAAGCAAGCAAGGAAATTCTAACATAAAATACCATGTTAAGATTTACGGAACGGTTTGTAATCATTATGTTTTTTGTTCACAGTAAAAATGAAATATGCGGAAAATGTTCCACATAACATGACCGAGAGGGAATTCTGGACACGATTTTTTCAGTCTCATTATTTCCATCGGGACAGGCTCAATACAGGCTCAAAAGACCTCTTTGCAGAATGTGCCAAACTGGATGAAAAAGGTAAGCTTTTTGACTTTCTGCAGTAGGCTGCTACAGTCTTGGCTATATCATAGAGCACAAAACTCAAGAGGTGTATCTAGTAAACCTAGCACAGCTGAAGTCAAAAGTTTTTTTTATGTCTGTTTACTGGGTATCTTTTTTGTCAAACCGTTAAGTAAAAGCTACAGATTGTCATTGAAAGTTAGCTCTCGTTTTGCGATTCTTATCATGTTTGATAGTGCATTTCTCGAAATAAATTCGCCTTTGGAAAGTGGTAGCACTAGAAATACTCTTTATTACTACTCATGCAGTAGTAAATCTGCAATAAATTCCATATTATGCTATAATGCTAGATTGATTATGCTCTGCCATCAGTTACTATGGAATAATTTTGTTTACATAAAGCTTCATTTTGTGGTATGTTCACAATTTATAACAGGTATAGCTTTTATTATAGATTAGTTTTTAGTAATAAACAAATATGGATCCTGTTTAAGATTTTCCGGAGGAGTTGCTGTCCCTGTCAACCTTTTGTTGCTGTCAACCTTTTTAATGTGAAATCTTAAAATATTATCTGACTTGTTTTTATTGAACTTTTGAGGTAAGTTTGTGACGATACAGAAATGTGGAGAGTTGAGATCCCTTAACACCATTCCTTAACGCACATTCTGACTAATGAAAGCATTTGAAAGCCACAACCCTTCACAAGTAAAAGCTATCACCAGATATAAATTACCATGCTACCCAAGAAGGCAGCAAAACAGTGCTGAAATTAGAAGAACACACAATTAAAGCTTCCCAGTTCCCACTAATACAACTAATATAACTGCATCTTCGGTTTTGTTTTTCTTTTTACCAAACAGTGTTTGGTGATGTGTAGTAGCCGATTAAAAACGGCACTAATTAGTAGGACAATCATTTACAATAACTTTCCAAGTTTATTGCTTATTTTAAATGGAACTTTTGAAAGGGTTGAAAGTTTTAGTCCCAGTGATACATGGGCATCTGCAGAACCTTTGTCTTCTCCTTTTAAAGGTTAAATATAATAAATAATCCCACAATTATTTCTATTTGTTTAGATACAGTTTTTCATGGTTTTTTCTTTGTTTCATACAGGGTTAAAAACAATGGTGTCTCAAGGAGTAAAAAACCCTCTGATAGATTTAACAGCTTTGGAAGATAAAACATTGGATGAAGTAAGTAGTTGGGGAAAAAAAAACCAAAACAACCAACAACAACAAAAAAAACCCACAAAGACAAACCACCCCTTCCCTTAGTTTCATTTCAGGAGAAAGTGGGTCCTTCTCCTGTTAAAAAAACTACAAATGCTAATTCTAAAACACATCACTTACTAGGCTCCTGCAATAGTTGGGTAGTCAGCATTTATACAGTTGTATCTGTGTAAAGAAACAGAGACTCTGCCCATGGACCTGTATGTCTGCCTTAGTGTGCTGGGTATAAAAGCAGGAGTTCCCTTTTTTAAAGAATTATTATTTCACTTGGATGGCTTTTTTGTCTACAGTGGACTCTGGTTTCTTCCTGACTTTTAGAAGCTGTGACAATGTACAGAAGAGTAGCACAAAACAGGAAAAAGTCTTTGCATTTGTTCTCACTTTGAACATTGCTATTTGTTTGATTCAGCCTAATTTTAAGGACACTTTATACAATTTTCTTTATTTAGCTTTAAATACCGTGTTTTGCTAAAAATATGACTAACTTGAACTGTTACCTGCCTCCAAGTACAAATTAAAACAATTGTTATAAGCGGTGTACCATAATGTGAAATAACTTAAAAGATGCACTCTTCTGCAGTTGATTTAACTTAAACTTTTGAGTTATGATTAATAATGATGCTGCATTTCTAAGTTGTTTTTTTGTGTGTGTTTGAGTTGCACAAAGCTACCAGTCTGCAACTGGACTAGGAGTTTAGGATAGGTCTGTTGGAAGTGCTATGCAAACTGCCCTAGTTTGCTTTTGAGGCTGGTTAACTGCAAGCATGAAACTGTGCATGGGGTGAAGTGAGTTGCCTTCAGCCACCTGGTAACTGGGGAACACTGCCAACATTAAGGCTTGAGGTTTTTCGAATTCCTAGTGGTATCACATCCTCCTGACAGCTGTCATTTAGCCTGTGGGCTGCTGGTGTCCCACAGGATGTTAAAAAGAGGTCAGTAAAACAATTGGTAGCTCTTACTTGCCATCAATGCCTGTCTGTTTTGTACAGGTGATCCTTAGATTTTTTTTTTTTAAGGTAGTTCTGTTTTTACTTATAACAGATCATGGTCTTATAAAAATATCTGTTGAAGATTATTTTTTTCTTCTCTCAGACACCTCTAAACTGCCAAGCGTTAGCGGAATAAAATAGTCTATGGAGACTTTTCAAAGTACATGAAGTGATGGTAGGGGGAAGGCAGGAAAATACTGCTTCAGATGATGGTGTGGTATCACTCAGTAAAGTTCAGAGGAGGTGGCATGCAGGCTTCCTGACTCAATGGAAAACAGAATTGTCCTTCTGGTTTTGGGGCAGGAGGTAGCTAATGTTGTTTTCTTTGTAGGGCTATGGTGTTGCTTCTGTGGCCTCTACATCAAATGCCTCAAAATCCGCTAGAGAAAGTAGCAATGCTGCCATTATAAAACGCTTTAATCATCATAGTGCCATGGTCCTTGCAGCTGGCCTCAGGAAACAGTAAGTTTCAATGTGGTATAGAAGCTTTTTTTGTAACAAATTTTAAGGAATTTCCAAAATGAAAATACACCTTCAGTTACTCATCCAACCTTTTCTTTTCATTTTTATGAATGAAGTATTTTGCTCTCGAAATTAATACCCCTTTAGGTTCCATTTTACTTTTACAAAGTTTTTCAGAGCTGTCTGAGATGACAAATGCTATTTTTAGCCGAGTTGTTATCGTACAAAGCAGATTAAAAAGGGAAGGATGTTTCTGCCTTGGTTCTCTCGCCCTGCTGAAGGCTGCAGAAGTAGTATTCTGTTTGCTGTGCAGAGGTGAGGTCTGGTGCAGGGAGTTCCTATTGCCCTGCCTTCCAGGAGCAGGTCTGCTGGGGCTTCCTGCAGTGGGGTGCATGGACACAAGTAAACGAGGAAGCAAAAGAACAGTGTGGCATGGGTGGATCAGGTGAAAGATTCCTCCAGTGCAGTACCCTGCCCCGACCAAAAAAATGTATCAGCTGGTGATGTATATTTACAGCGAACTTCACAAATGAAACTTCTTAACACGCGTGGAATGGGTTTGATGTGAAGCCTGCTTTACAGCTGGTCTAGAGACAACCACTCTACCCAAATCCTACAGACCTTACCTGTGAGAGATCTTAATTAAATACTTTCTTCTGTGTAGCTGTGCTCCCTCCTGTTCTGTCTTGCACAAATTGAACAGTGGACCTTAAACAATCTCTTTTGGGTAATGTGTCTTTCTGTTTCTCAGTTCAGAAAGAACAATAGCTCTCATTCTGAAACAGTAGTGTCTCAGGGCTCCAATAGCTCTGCTAATACCTGCTTGACATAAGTGTGTATGCAAAGGGTTTCTCATTTAGGCGTGACTTTGCTGTGTCCCATTTGCATTGTGGGCATGCTACTATTTCTGAAGAGAGGGAGAAGCACCCTCCACCGCTGTTGAATTTCCCCCTTGACAAACAGGGTTATTTGAGGTGTTGGTTCCTTCTATCTAGATCAACTTCTAGAAATGAAGACATAAGGGGAAAAAAGTTGATATACAGTATGTGAACATGCATATGAAATTTTTGAAACAGGTGTATTTACTTTGTCTCTAGCTTGTATCTTAAGTTTCCTGTGAGGTGAATTCTTCTTAATGCTGTTTCTCTATTTTAAGAGAAGCACAAAATGACCATTACAGTGAGACCAGCAGTACGGATGGAAACTCCAGGGATTCAGATTTCTTTCAACCACCAATGAAAAAGGTATAAAGTGAGCTGATGCAATTCCAATTAAATGGAGCTGGAAGCTCTGTCTCTCAAAAGATTGCTGAAGGTTCCTTACTTGTTTTATGATGCATCTAAAGTGATACTTATTTAGCTTTGCTTAGAAGTATATAGAATAAGAACCTGAGGGCCTGTAAGAAGCTTTGTACGTCTGTTAGTAAACACAGATAAATTACACTTTGAAGTATTGTTCTGTTCATCTCTTCAGTAGTGCCCAATGAAAGTAAAAATTTTCCAACATGCTTCTGATTGGACCCAGAAATCTGGTTCTTTCCATTCTGTGCCGTTCTATTTTTGCCCTTCTGGCTGAAGCAAAAAACTGGAAGCGCAGTGATGCCTGTTGCACTGAAATACAGGACTACAGCCTGTTTTAGACTAACTATAGCAGCTCACAAAGTAGAAGAGAGTATTGTAATTGCTACAAAACTGAATTGAATACTCTTGCTAGTGTTGACAGCCTAAATAGAAAATGCCAAGGGGGACTAAAAACCCGTGTGTATTGTGAAAAAAGGTTGTAGAAGACGTGTTAAATGTTGAGGTAGTCAACAGCTTTGACTTTCCTGAAAAGCTGCAGTTTTTACTGGGAAGTAAACAATATACCAGGACTAGAATAAATGTGATAAAAAGAGGAGTGAAAGAGTAGCATGAGTAGGAGACTTCAAAAGTAGTTTTCTCATTGTACAAATCTGATATCACTGTGCTGTTACCTCTCACCGCTAATGCTGTAGCTCTACTGTCACCAAATTGCTTGGGTAACTATTATGGTTTTAGTCTTACACTCTTGTATGCCAGCCATTAAATCATTACTATTTCTGCTAATCTGGAGATAGATGGACGTAAATAGAGAGCACAAAGAATGATCAATGTATAGCAGAGCACTTTTTGGAAGTGGCAGGGACTGCAAGTTTTGGCCAGAATCTGCAGAAAAAGCGGTAGTGCCAAGACTTCCAGATTGCACACTTTAAATAATACTGGGCGCTGCTCCCTCTGGAGGGTAGACGTGAACCATTCCACACTTTCATTTTCTTTAAGGTTTTAGTAACCCTTCTGCTCAAACTCAGTGAACTGGGAAGAAAGCACTAGATGCATCAAATTGTCTCCTCATTAGTAATGTGTATAATTATTTGGCTCATTTTAGGTGAAACTGCAGGAGTCCATTGAATATGAAGATTTAGCAAAGAATAATAGCATTAAAACTATTGCACTAAACTTAAAGAAGTCTGATAGGTAAGTTAACAAAATATGCATGGCTATTTCAGCGTATTCGATCTAGCAGGTCTCTCATCACAGCCTGCACAGAGTTAGCTGATTTAGTCTCTACTGTGCCACACTCAAGTGTGTTTAGGCTAAGTTTAGGAACCTCATATGAACTCCTGCATAAACCAACTTCCAAGTAATTCCCATTTAAATTTGTATTTTGATTTCATCTTGCTTTTCAGCAAGTTAAGTCTCTCTAAGCCTACTTGAAGGGCTTTGACATGTAATTTCTGTGAAAATCTAACAGACCTGTATTCACAGTTCAGCACTTTGTTGCAGCTTACAGTGGAAAAATGTATGTTACATGTGAAAATATATACGATTCCAAGGAAAATCCACTCCCACGCAAAGAAAGTGCAGTCGGGATAGTTTGGACTGCTCACAGGTCTAGTATTTTTCTAGTAATAGTCCTCTTGTTTTCTAGACTTTTGAGTTTGAGAACCATAGATGTAACTTCAGAAAATAAGTGATACCACAGGAAAGAGAACAGGTCCAAATGTGCACCTAACTTCATTTAGCTTAGTTTCAATCGAAAGTGGTGTGAATTGCTCCATTCTAACGATATTCGCAGAACTAGGTGGCACAGATAGCTTGTCATTAGCAAAACGATGCTCGCAGATTCAACAATAGAAGCTCTTCTTACTTTGCTGCCACGCCATCCCAAACCCAACCTCTTCCCGTGTGGCAATGTATTTTAGTTTGTCAGTAAATAAGATTTAGATAGTAGCGTCAACAGTTGCAAAGCATCTGAAATTGGAAACATTGGAAGAACTGTCCACTGAGTTTGGCCTCTGTTTTACCAACACTCCTACTAATACACTTTTCTCTTTCTTTTTCTCACCTCACAGGTATTATCATGGTCCAACTCCAATTCAATCACAGCAATATGCAACCAGTCAGGATATAATTAATTCTTTTCATAGTATTAGGCAAGAAATGGAAGCATATGTACCCAAACTAACTCAGGTATGGAAGAATACTCAAAAAAATTCCCTTCTTGATGTTAGCATCTTGCTTTCTATATAATTGTGTCTCGTGTCTACTGGAATTTTAATTCTTCAGGGTAAACATTATCATCTCCAATAGTTTTATATTATTCAGTTTATTTTAAAACTTTAAGCGATACCTTTTGAGCTATTGTGTTTAAAATCTAAACAATAGGAAACTGAGTCATTGCTGATATTCAGAGTTATATTCTGCTGTTACCACATTCTTTTGAGGAAATAGTAAAGGTATAAAGTAGTAAAGCAGGACAGTCATGCAACATGAAGTACAGGCCAATATTATTGATCCCACCTCCTGAAATTCAGGAAGTAATGGTTTTAAGAGGTCATAGTAAGCAGGTTTATAACTGAATGGGTCTTCAGCTCCTAAATACACTTAGGTAGGATGTAGATCTCGCTGTGGGCTGCACAGCAGCTCTGTCCTGGCAACTGGAGGGCAGCATAGCCATGTAGCCAATATCCCCAGCCAGTATCTGAGCTTCCTCTGTTAGCAAACCTAGATTTGGCCCTAAGGAAAGCAGCCACAACTGTGAATGTGTCACATTTCTGTATAGTAATTCTCTTTCTCAGAGCCAGTTCGCATACTAGGTAAAGAAAAGGGTTGTTTATCCATAATTAATTGGAGAGCTTTCACTGAAAACATGAGCTATAGCACTTAAAGGCTCTGTGTCTAATTCTGGAGAAGAGCAGACCCTTCATCAGAGCTTTGATTGCTCAACTGTATCTTTGCCATTGGGGTTCAAATACAACTTATTTAAAAAAGATTTTGTTGGAAAAAGTGATCTGAAATATTTGTTCCCTCTGTCCCTTCAGGTTCTTTCAAGTGGTGATGCTACTAGCACTATTGCGGTCCTGTCACCTGGAGGAGCACTTATGCAGGGTGGAACACAGCAAGCCATAAACCGTAAGGATTTAGGATGTGTAATACTTTAATCGTATTTTACTGCATTATACAGCAGTACCTGGCTTGCTGTTTCTTCTGCCTCTTAGAATATGTTACAGTGATAAAGGAAATTATGGAAACATGTAACTGGAGTAGTACTGGGTTGCAGCAACAAAACAAAAGCAACAACTCAGCCACACCATGAGGGTGGCACTGGCTACACCAGTGCTGAGGCAAGTGAATGAGAGAGAATTTTACAGAGCAAGTAATGAAGGATGCACTTGATACTAAGTCCTCTTACAGATAATAGGTTTTGCTTGTTCAGCGTTTCTCTCTTCTGATTTTTTTTTTTTCTCCTGGATTTTAGAAAATAAAGGCATACTGTGGGAAAGCTCTAAGGAGGCAAGGCCTAGGTAATTGTCTGGAACTGGGTTTTTTGCAGCCTGCGTTTAAGATCCACAGCTTGCTGTGAAAAAGGACAACTTTCTTGTAGACTGCAAGGGCAAAATAGATAAGCCCTCTTTCTCACATCTCCATTCAACCACCCCTTTCCCTTTTGTCATGTTCCTGCCAGTTTGAGTTCCTTTCTCTTTAGTCTCACAGCAGATGAACCCCTATTCTCACAAGACAGAGTTTATAACAGTTTTCCAGTTTAACTTGTGTTACTTGGTCTGAAGAGCAGCAGAAACTAATTCAGACAGCTGAAAAAGCAAGTATGAGTTCTTTATGGTACTGAAAGAAAAGGAGTCAGCAAGCAGTAGTGAGGCTTTCTTACCCATCCCAGTTGACATACTGCATGACACACTCCACTTCTTTGAGCCTGTCCACCACTTTTTTTTTTTTAAATAAACAGCCTCATCCTAGAGTTTGCTGTTCACTCTTCAGTTCACTGGGCTCCTGTCATCCTCAATGACAGCTTGTGCTTTTTGTCTTTGTTTTTTATGATTGTGGTTCCTTCCCTGTTCTTGCACCCTGTTGCCCTTTCTTCTTTAAGAGTATTTCGGATACAGTTCCTCATTCCTGCCTGGATTTTTCATCTTCCACATGCTGTGACCATATTTCTCATTGTCAACGCAAGAGAGAGGGAAAAGCTTGCAGTCACACAGTATTTTGCACTGTGCTGTGGAGAGAACAGGGTGCTGGTCCCAGAAGCAGTACTGCCACACTGTCAGATCAATACAAATATACTGCTTCTAATCCTGGATTAAGTTTGGTGTCCATTTTTTGCCTGGCATAGCTCTCCCTATATAATATACAAGCTTCCAAGTATATAGCCATAAATAGCGGCTGACCCGATCTAATACTGCTGATAGTCCTACTTCAGGTGTGAGACACCTCAGCGTTCCTTCCCAGCCAACATTTCTGGATTCTAGTAGAAATATATATTGCTGAACTCCTTTGTTAGCCTTACATTCTCATTTTTCATACGACAGTTTTGAGTGACGTGACAAAGTCTTTTTCCTGTTGCAGAGATGGTGCCAAATGATGTTCAGTCTGAACTAAAACACTTGTACGTGGCAGTAGGGGAACTGCTACGACACTTCTGGTCCTGCTTTCCTGTTAACACGCCATTCCTAGAAGAAAAGGTAAGGTGTAGCTTCCTAGTGTGGCCCTGGTTATGATGTGGCCAGATCGTGGTTTAGAATGACTGTTATTAACTTTAAGTATAGAACTTATACACATGCTTTAAATCAGTGTAGCACTAGAACTGAAGGTCACAAAACAATGTAAAACATTACTTTTTTCAGCAATTCTGCTGGTGCTATTGGTTAAAATCATCCTTGTCCCTGCATGCCTGTTAGCACCCTTCAGGAGCAGTTGCTGTAGGCTAGTTTCAAACAGAATGGTCAGCTATATTCCAGCTGCAGATTTCTCATTACCTGTTTAACGCACAAGCTAAAGCCCCACCCTTCCCAATCTTTTAGATATAACCTCTGCAGTGATAGTTACAAGAAATATTTCCTTATTCTTCTATCCATTGCAAAATCACTCGGTCGTAGCTTCAAAACATACACTGCTTTTTAGAACAAAGTTGCCTTCAAGAAGAGATGTCTATCTACAAGTAGGTATATGATTGTAACCATTTTTCTGTTGCTTTTGTTTCTTTTGACCTCACGTGGATCACAAAGATAAAAATTTGCATTCAGATATGTTGGATTTGCTGCTGCAAAACGTGGCCTGAAAATCCATGGTACAGTCTTTGCTTGAAGCAAAAAAAGATGTTTTTGTGAATCTTATCTATAGTATTTACGGACAAAGTAAAAATTACCACAGTGGCACAGTGCACTTTCAGTCATATTGCACTTGCCTCAAAAAATAAATACGTGCTCAAGAATTGTTGGGGACTGATATTTTAGTAACTTTTCTTCCTCAAACTCTACATACTTAAAGTAGCCCCCAGAATTAGTTACAAGGTGTTTTGTTGGAGAACAATTTGTTTAAGGAAATTAAGCTTCTGTGCAAGTGATTATAATACTGGTTTCTGTCTCTCTCTTAGGTTGTGAAAATGAGGAGCAACTTGGAAAGATTTCAGGTTACAAAGCTCTGCCCATTCCAAGAAAAGATTCGGAGACAGTATTTAAGCACAAATGTAAGGAGAAAATACTCTTTAATTACATGGGTGCATATTAATAATTTGAATTGTAATTATCAGAGGATGGGTAGCTTTGTTACTTCTTATCCTAGGGCATTTTAAGTTTTTTGTTAACTAGGAAATGGGCAGAGGGGAATTGGGTACACAGTTAAGCATGTCTTCTCTCCCTGTATAACTTGCTGAATAATACCAGAAACTGTCAAGAACTATAACTTGAAATTACCCAAATGAGACAACAAAAATGGGAAGTCGTGTTTCATTTTTCACTTCCACCGTGAAGCAGAACTTTAGCAGCTTCAAAACTGTCTCCCACCACGTCAGACTTGAAGTGGTCACAGCCTAAATGCTGGAACAGACAGCACAATCGGGTGTCACTTCCCTGTGACCTTCTCAGCTTAGTAGCTCTCTGAACTGCTCCCTCTACAGGTACTTTGCAATAGAGCCTCAAGGTCTTTTCTCTCTTTATCTGGTATACCTCTTCGATTTTAGTGAGGTTACTCTTAGTGAATAAAAGGAAGAATCCAACTGAGTATCTGATCAAAGGGAGGGGAGGGGATCTGTTTTCCAGTAGCTGGGACATTTGGTTTTCCCTCTTAATGTTTCAGTTGATAAGTCATATAGAAGAGATGCTGCAGACGGCCTACAATAAGTTCCATACGTGGCAGTCCCGGCGCATGCTGAAGAAGACGTGAAAATGCATGCTGTACAGGTTTGAGAGCAAAATCTGCAATAGGTATAGGAGTACAACCTAGCATATGTGCAGATCTTATAGTTGTTGCGGGAAGACCTGCAAGCTGTGGACTTCTGGAAACGATGCTAACTGAACTTGCACATTTTTGAAAAAGAACTGAGATTAAACTTGAAAACTAGGGAGAAAAACAAGGAAGAACCAAAACAGAAGAGCTGAGGCGCAAAAATATTTAAAAGACACTGTTTACTGCAGTTACTCAGGAACTGCTTTTGATTTGCCTAAAGAGCTGCTTTCAGAAATAAAAAATTTAAAGAGGGTGTATTAATAAAATCTGTTTTTCTGTCTAATTTTTTTTTTAAGAAGTGTATGGCACAGGGTAGAAGTCAAAAGTTTTTCTTCACTGGATTCTGACATTTTATTGAATTCTGTTTGTATTTTCTGCAACAGTTTAACAATGATATTTTAAAAAATAGCTGAGACTGGTTTTGCTTCAGACATCTGGGAGAGCGCAGCTGTCAGAAGACAAGCTTCTGCCATATGTTTCCCCACCAATTGGAAGCAAGAGACATTGCACTGAAAGCTGTTTATGGTCTGGGGTCCCTAAAGGCACACGGGGGCAAACTTTTGCCTGAAGTCTTGGATTTTTATGCAGAATTTTTTCAGCCATCAGTTTTGCATGTTTTCCTTTGAGTGCAAGTGTGTGCTACTGCAGTCTTTTTTTTAAGGTGGCATTTGTTCTGAGGAGAGAATGCATTTTTAAAAATGAAGTTAAATAAAGTTTCTTACAAAAGAAGTCATTTATTTTCAATTGTTAGACATTTTTTTATTTCTTCTCCTGAATCTATTTTCCTTCACTCTTCCCTTTTGACTGTTACACTATTTTTGGCGAATTGATAATCATTACAAAGAGAAAAATGTGTTATTTACACATTGTCCATAGATATTGGGAATCTGTGCCATACTTTGTTCCAAATAGAATCAGTTCACAGTTTCAGACCAACTTGTCTTGTATTAAATGTGACTTAAATGCAAAGTAAACCTGTTTTCTATAATATATGCAGTTTAACAACATCCTTGTATTTTGTTGTCACCTTGACTGTACTAAAGCCCAGTATGGGCTACTGAACTTTTTTACTTCTGACTAAATGTGACTGTTAAAGAGTATAAGATGCATTTACTACAAAGACAAATCAGAGTATTCAAAGCAAGCACAGCAGTGTTAAGTACGGCAGAAGAAATTCCCATTAGCCTGCATGATGGCTTAATACTAGAGTTTGCCACCATTGGTATGATGCTAAAACATGATAGTACGATGTTGGGTGGAGAATTCTTGCAAATTCCTACGGAAGAAAAGAAAGATGTATTTGTATAGCCAAGTCTGTGCTTGTTCTGTGCTGCTGCTCCATTTATGCAAGAGGGGTTTTTTCTTTAACTGATGCGTGGAAGTCAGCAGCTTCTTTTTACCCAGTGTTTTTGGATTTTTGTATTATGCTAATATTTTGGTAAAAGCTGAGTTTCAGTTAAATGTCACTGTCTGCACCAAAATTCTGTCTTGAAATGTATGCATATTGTTAAGCCTAGTTTCCCTGTCTGCTTTTGCAGATAGATGCATGATACCTGCTCTGTGATGTTTATGTGGTTCTGCTACAAGAAATGACTGGGCTCAACAAGAGAGATGCCCATTATTTTTGACAGGGTGAAAACGTCACTAGGAATAAACAGATGTACGTACAGCATTTGGGGGGATGAGGTGCACATCTTGTCAAGAGTTACCTCTTGTGATAAACAAACTATTTCTCTAAAATTTAGGCTTAGGGTATGGCTTTATTAAGCCTAATCCTCTTGTAAGTGCAGGCAGCTCCCAGAAAGAAAGGGTAGTTTTGTTCTCCCCCACTCCAAAGCGTTTCATCTAGCAATTCTGTGGCCAAATTTCAGCTGTTCAGTGAAAGCTGTAACACCTTTCATCGTATCAGAGGGCTAGGTTCAAGAAAATATATCTGACATATTCTAACTGTGCCTGAAGCTATGAACAACGCATGTGAGTATTAAGACTGCACTGAGACTTCATTTAAAAAAAAAAAAAAATCATAGACAGGAGAGTTTTTGAATATGGAACTAATTCACCTTTGATTTGAATCAGTATTTAGTGTTCCTGGAAACGCTGGGCAAAATGTTTAGCACGGTGGAAAAGTTTCAGTGCATCACAAGAGGATTTCACAGTTCAAAGGACTGTTGTTCATAATCATTATGGGGGATGGTGTTGCAATAGCTTTAAATCATTATAGCGCTATCAGGCTATCAAAACGTACCTTAATTAACAGAACTGGGGGGGGGGGGGGGGGGGGAGAAGA